CTGTCCAACCTTGTGGGTTTTCTCCAGGTCCTTCGGTTTCCTCCCACTGCTAAAGACATCTACGAGCAAGCGAATTAATGGTATAAAATTAAACCATATGTTAGTCCCGAAATGACCTAGTTTGTGTCAAGTGGACGTTAAACCCCATTTCTCTCTCTCTGTCTCTTTTCCCTTGTCAGTGATGCTAGTCTTCATTAGCCCAGTTCGGAGCAGAACAGTAGGATCTTAATCCCCATTTTATTTCATTTATTTTTAAATTATTATAGCAAGAAATCTTACATAATTCATCTTTAATTATTAAATGTTAAATAATTTTTACATTATAGGGTTTATCATTACATCATCTGTACATATAATTATGTATCATACAATTTCAAAATGTTAAGTAATTAACCTAAGTACATTTTATCTTGGATTAAGCTGTGGAAAAAATAATATTTTCTGAAAAATGCACCTGACGTATAGAGGCTTAAATCGACTAGATAATTATCTAAAGAGTTAATTAAAATTAATTCTGGAAAATGACAATTAGCCTTCTGGTGCATTAATGGAATACATATGGGTTTTTCCATAGAGGTAATATAAGGAGTGATGTTAAACAATGGAAGACATCTTGGCTATTCATTATGTTCAGTTCGCATAAATAAAGGGCAGATGTATTGGTTGTTGTTGGATAACAAAAAAAACACGACCATATGTTTGATTATACAACTTCTCTACTTAATTCTATGTTTTTATTCCAAACATCCGAAATATCACTGTAAAGCTGAGCGGCCATGTTTTGTTTTCATTTAGATCCAGAAGAACTTAAATTAAATTTGCTTTGGTCCGACTTATATAAACACATGGCTTTTAATACTAAAAAATATCTACCACAAACAGATCTAAGTCATCATTTGTTTATCAGTCTTTTAAAATCCGATGGCAGTCATAAACTTGGTGTCACTAGGGTGTTAATTCATGACTACTTAACGATATATCTAGTCACGCTTTAACATTACAAATGGCATATTTTACAGGTAGTTACGTTACACACACGCTCATTAATCTATCTATATAAATAAAATCAAAGTAAGTATGTATGTATGTGTCTATGTTCGCACATCACGCTTCGTCGCCATGCTCCACCTCACATATGTGCTATCAAATTAACCAGTCCCAGATTTCGGCACCGGGCAAATTTCGGCCCCCGGTGAAATTGGGCCCCTGTTGAATTGCATCTCAGGGGAAATTTCGACCCTGGGCGAAGTCGGGTATCCTGTTAATGACTACTAATTTCTAACCACATTTAATGGCAAAAATGTTCATTAGTAAAAGGCCTTGGTTTATAAGTTAAAGTGTAATTTTTATGGTGGCTTACAAACCAAGAGGACCCAGGTTGGATGAGAAAATTCCTTGGGATTTTCCAGCTTGGTGTTCCCTTGTAGGTGGTGCAGGACTAAGAAAAAGTGTCTAGTCTTTTGGATGAAACTAAAAATAAAGGTCCCCTGTATACCACTAGCAGCAAGTTTATTATCTCCTGAGACAGTTAGAAATTGAAATAAGGGTAGGACATAGCACCACTGTCATGGCAAAACCAAAATTACACGGCAAGAAGATATAGGCCTATATTATTTATTATTTTGCTTGTACTAAATAGAACCTGAAATATCTGAAGGTCATCATATTCTGGCACTGTGCCTTTAAGAACATAATGTACTGTGTTTGTATAAAAAATATATAACAAAAGACAAGAATAAAAATACTATTTACCATTGCTCTTAGATAAACTACTTTTTATCTCCTTCTCATATTTCAGACGACAGACATCTGTTTTATTACGTTTTGCATCGTGGATAAATCATTAAAGTGGCAATAAGTCCGTGGAAGCCAGAAAAATTTGTTGTCATTAATCAGCCTTTAATCATACTAAATGGGTGGTCGAGGGGTCTTCAACGTGCACGTTAGATCATAAGGTCTGTCATTGAGTCAGGTGTTGTGGTTTTGATCCCAAGGTTGTAGGTGACAGGGAAGAGGGTCGTCTGTACAAATTCATGGGTTTCTCTGGTTTCCTCCAAATGCTAAAGATCCCCCACGAATTATTGGAATAAACTGAACCATATGTTAATTCCACAATGACCTAGTTAGTGTTGACCCCCCTTTCTATCATAAAATATACTAATGTGAGTTCCCAAGCTTGTATGTGAATAAAATTGAACCATTTAAATTATGTTAGTCCCAAATTTTATGTCGACCCTCCCTCCCTCTCTTCCCCTCTGTCTCTCTCACAAAATATCATGAGTTGCCAGGCAACAAAATATATATGCCCATGGCAGTTATGTCATTTGAGCAGTCTCCAAGAGGTGTAGCATCGTGAATCTGTAGGTATATGATTCACTTACCTGGTCTGCGTAACTTGAAAATGTTCACAATAATTTACAACCGATATGGCCTGAAATTGAAATATAAATAATCTTTTACGCTGCTAATTAACTGTTACCGTTACATGTATTTGGAATTTTATTTTCCTATTAAATCAAGAATTAATTACTAACTCAAAAAACTAAAAGTAATCTTGATTCTTGATCATGGTTTTCTGAGGAAATCAGAATACAAAGCCAGGGCGGCTCAGAGTGTGAGATGCTGGCTCGCTAACCTGGAGGTCCTATGTTCGATCACGGTGTTAGCCGAGAAAGTTCATCTGGATTTTCCGACGCGGTTCCCCCTTGTCAGTAGTGCAGGACAGGGGGCTTGACAAGGGACAATGTACAGTCATTCGGATGGGATGAAAAGCCGAGGTCCTGTGTACACAATGATGTGCACGAATGTCGTAAATATAGTCATTCGAATTGGAAGAAAAACCGAGGCCCCCATGTACACATTGATGTGCACGTAAAAGAACTCTTGGCAGTTGGAATTCGATACAAGAGTAGGCCATAGTGCCACTGTACAGGCAGAACAGTTGGATGTTAAGCCCCATTTCATTTGGTATGTTTCTTTAAGTGTAATTTTAGTAATTGATTGGTAATAACACAACATATCGACAACAATTACTGGTTTATTTTACTAAAAATGTTGCTAGTACTCTCGTCTTTATAATCAAGCATCTGGTCATCACTTGCTTGATAAAGACGAGAGTACAACGTACTAGTCGTGACACGCTGCTATTGAATAAACCAGTAATTGTTATCCATTGTTTATTGTTGCATGGTATGGCCAATCTTACAGAAAAAAAGAAATTCTCAAAGTAAATCAACACAACCAAAAATTTGGAAATTAAATTCAATTTTTGGATGTTTCTTCGAACCCTTCTCTAAAATTATCTAATTTGCACATTTCATAGAAAATAATTAAATTCTTAAATTAAATTATATGTCAAAGACAATTTGAAATCTATATGGAAATTGAGAGGCATGATAATTTTCTTTGCTACAATTATGACGTAAACAAAGATTTTAAGAAAAATCATAAAGTCTCAAATTAAATTTGCATGTAACTTTTCACTAATATATTTAATTAATTTTGATTAAAAGATTCTGGTGATGAACTTATTCTTCAAAACAACACAAATCAAATCATGATTCATCTGGACGAGCAAGCCACTGAAGCATGTCTATGGAACCACTCAAGTGAAAACATCAGATTGTAATATAAAAATATGGCAGACAAAATCTAATTAGTTCGGTATTCTGTATAATATATTCCTATTGTATGTCGTATTTAATTAAACTGCATCAGTAAAATACTTTTGATCATGCAAAGTAAAATGCAAATATGAAGAAATTAATCTAATAATTGGCTCGATAGAAAACAAAGATTAAGGGAGACTTCTGGGAATAATGGCAAGGAGTAGAGTTTAAAGGGGATAAGGCTTTTCTTTGGAACCTTAAAATGGATGAAAACAGGTCAAAAAGCACATATTGTATATTTGTAAACATATATAAACTTTTAAAGAGCGTATAGCAAATGAAAATGGGTTGAAAAGCACATTAGTGGCAGTGTATAAAGATAGGTTGCCAGACAACAAAACATACGCCCACAGCAGCTAAATCATCCGAGCGATCGACAAGGGTTAATTGTCGCATATTTATTCTTTTGTAGGTACATGTAATTAATGGCATTTAATAGACAATTTCATACAGATGACATTATAATTTTCGTCGTTTGGGGGTTCACAAGGTTCTAAAAACTAAAACAAGGGTCGTAAAACTGGAAGTAATCTACAGAAATTGTTGAAATTGGACAGGCTTTTTCGATTTACTAATTCAAATAATGCATATAAATTTCATACAGATCGGTTGATAAATGTAGTCTGTAGAGTGTTTACAAGAAATTGTTGGCGACGGACAGATGGACGGACGGCAATATACGACATTTCCATGTGGGCGTATAAAAACCAATTTACATTTAATTTTTAAAATTGTTATGCTTATCTGTTATATGTTTTTATAACAATATAGTTTTCTATAGACCCTGTCTCTTGCCAATCCCACTGTCTTGTACAACTGAGGCTAAGGTGAGTGAGTTATTGAGACACTGTGGCTCCCTTTTCCATTCATACTGTACATGTGGCACTATATACAGGCTGATGATTAGGCTTACACCAGGCCATTTATACTAGCAGCAGCTGTCGCTGGAAATAATGAAATGCTGAAAAAATGTCACAGACACAAATGTACTAAAACCACAGTACATTTGAGATTTTAAATTTTGTGCAGCTAAAACACACAGGTCGGTTGTCATAAATGTACTTTATTCAGATTTGGGAGTCCCAGAAAAATGTAAAATCTGTGCCGATGCCATGATTCACTGACAAAGCCTGAATTTGTTCAGTGACATTACTGACTGACAATATGTCTGTGACAAGTGGATAACTTCCAGGCTTGACTAGCACTTGCAGCTAGAAGAAAACACATTTTTCAGTTTAAAATATATTTTATTTCTATTTTTACATTGATGTCAAGTATACAAACCTGTACAATTTCTCATAAATTTTATAACTTCAGCAACACCTGCCGACCTGGTTAGAAAACTTTCTCAGATTCTTCACCATTCACAGTATAACAGGGGAAATAACTCTAGGTAGAAAATGTTTAAACTCTTTTATTTTAGAATCAAAACCAGTCCTTTACCTATTCGTTGTTCAGTATTTGGATACATGCTTCGTGAAAATAATAGACATGCATTTATTTTGACACACTTTATATTTTCTCAAAAAACAACAGTTTTATTTTATCAATTAAATTAATTATGTATTCAAAATTTATTTTTGAGCGAATAATATGCTAAATTATTAATGTGTACCAATCACCAATCATACGAATATTTGATAGGTAATATAGCCTATAGGGGGCTAACTTCAATTTGATAAGACAGGAAAACATTGGAGGCAGGGAGTTTTGACGTGTTTACATCAAAGGCAACGTTATTTAATTCCAACGTGTTAAAGATTAACTGAAGAATGCGAGGGTTAGAATAATTATGTCAAAACTCGAGAATGGGATAAATGGCATGAGCCTGAAAAATGGTGAAAAGTCTTTAACAGCAGGTCTAGAACACACAGCAGGTGACCAGGGTCAAAGTTCAAGCAGTGTTGCTGAATTGAAGGAATTAAAACAGAGTATATTTGGTATGTAGTTGTGTAAATTGCATCTCTGGATGAGTAGTGTATGTGGGGCATACACTGGGCGCTTTATCTATTATCGCAATTGTAATGTCACTTACATGTGTTTGAACCCTCTGGGCCTGGGCGCCTCGGCTTACATAATTTTTATTCAGTCACATTTAAATGTTGTCAACTGTTTTTTATGAAGTGTTTATATGCAGTATGTCCTACTGTATTTGAGAGGGGGAATTAGAACTGTTGATATTGAAAGATTTCCGATAAACATACTTACAAGAGTTATATCTTGATGAGACCCTGGCAATTATTGGAAAAGCATAAGTCGTTCTAATAGGATAAAACACACAGAACTCCTGGCAATTGGAATTGCTGCTGTTCTGGCAAATTATCCCTAAAATAGCATACCCATACTGCGTGACATACATGTATGTTGTCTTCATTATCCCGGATGGTGAAGAAAAATACAACGTTAAACCTCATTTGATTTTGTCATTTAATTTTAGATATTTTACGCGATGTGAGGGATCCAGAGAAACCTGAGACGTTAGAAGAATTAAATGTGCTGACAGAAGAATCCATCAGTGTAACTCGCTTAAAGGGCAATCAGCTCATGGTTAATGTTGAGTTTACCCCAACGGTACCTCACTGTTCTTTAGCGTCTTTGATAGGTTTGTGGCTTTTTATATTATTTACCCCAATGGTACCTCACTGTTCTTTAGCTTCGTTAAAAGGTTCATTGGACCAAGCTCTGCGCATCTTTTTGTTATTACTCTTGTGGGCGATGCTTATTCCTTGGACAAATTCACATCTATTGATCACAGACTTCGTTTTTTATAAATGACATCAAAATTCCAAGATGTCATGCTGAGTACTTGGTCCATATAGTACCATCGCACCTGTTTTTTTTATCATTTGTGAAGTTTTATACCTTTATGGGTTGGGCACAATATGAAGATACTTAGACATGTCAACAGACTAATATACTAGGCCTATCTGGACCAATCGCCACAACCGAAGACAGAAACGTTTGATTAGGTCACAATTCACAATTCAAACCACATTGCTGTGCAATGCGATTTTAATTGTTCGAATTGGTAATTGATAATCAAGCACTTCCAATGTGTGTAGCTTGTTGATTATGATATTAATGTGACTAATCACCGTAGTCGAAATACTTGATCAGGACACAGTTCAGTTCACACCACATCTACCAAACTGTGACAGGACTCATTTCTGTCCAATTCGATTAATTCTGTAAGTTCCTAACTGACAATAAAGCAGCCTCAATGTGTGAATATCCTGTTTAAACCTGCATACCCTACAAAAAAGATTCCTCGAAATTTGGATATACAAAAATGTCGCTGCCTGGGTACAATTTGCCTCCATACTGTATTCACACCATATGTCTGAAGTGGGTATATTTTTTATTTTTCAGGTTTAACTATCAGATCTAAATTACAGCAATGTCTGCCAGAAATTGCTAAGGTACATGTATTGTTCCACTTTTTTAAATGGATAGTAATTTGATGCATGATATTCAAAACCAAATGTCTTTGTTTAGAATTTTAAGGTGTTCAAAAGAGCTGATCCTACAAGGGATAGGAAAGCTACCCCCGGCAAAGAGATAGGAAGGAAAGTTCTCCCTGCAAAGGGATAGGAAGGGAAGTTCTCCCCTGCAAAGGGATAGGAAAGTTCCCCTCTACCGATCAGTCTAGGGATAAGCAAGTTCCCCAAAAAGGAGGCCTAGTTTTTCTGACTGTAACAGCCAAATGTGGTTACAAAGGGCAGGAAACAATCAGAAATTCAGACTACCTGATCATGTTTGTGCTACACTAACACTATTTATGGAATAACAATTACTGGTTTATTAACATTCCATAATAGTTTTAGTGTGTTACTCTTCAATTACTGGTTTATTAACATTCCATAATAGTTTTAGCGTGTTACTCTTCAATTACTGGTTTATTAACATTCCATAATAGTTTTAGCGTGTTACTCTTCAATTACTGGTTTATTAACATTCCATAATAGTTTTAGCGTGTTACTCTTCAATTACTGGTTTATTAACATTCCATAATAGTTTTAGCGTGTTACTCTTCAATTACTGGTTTATTAACATTCCATAATAGTTTTAGCGTGTTACTCTTCAATTACTGGTTTATTAACATTCCATAATAGTTTTAGTGTGTTACTCTTCAATTACTGGTTTATTAACATTCCATAATAGTTTTAGTGTGTTACTCTTCAATTACTGGTTTATTAACATTCCATAATAGTTTTAGCGTGTTACTCTTCAATTACTGGTTTATTAACATTCCATAATAGTTTTAGCGTGTTACTCTTCAATTACTGGTTTATTAACATTCCATAATAGTTTTAGCGTGTTACTCTTCAATTACTGGTTTATTAACATTCCATAATAGTTTTAGCGTGTTACTCTTCAATTACTGGTTTATTAACATTCCATAATAGTTTTAGCGTGTTACTCTTCAATTACTGGTTTATTAACATTCCATAATAGTTTTAGCGTGTTACTCTTCAATTACTGGTTTATTAACATTCCATAATAGTTTTAGCGTGTTACTCTTCAATTACTAAATACAACTTAAAGAAGTAATGTTGGTGCCAATTATTTTTTAATATTTTGTCAGGTTTTTTTAAATATGTATCATATGTAACTGATGTTACAAAGTAGATTAATAACAATCAGGGAGAAAGACATATATTTGTTACAGAGTCATTGTTTCACAAGGTTAGAAAATTGACGCTAAATCTAGGGGTCTGACCCTGGGCAGAGAAAACACATTTAGAATATTTCAAGCCTGGTTCTCTTTATCATATGTAGCACTTGGAAGCAGACCACAAAAGTTGTTTAGGTGACAATTGTAAGCAGGAAAGTATGGGACAATTGGGTGATATGTAGTTCAGTGGGTTAATGATAGGTCATTAATTGGAGTTACCTCCCCTTTCACATTGATTCTATTTTTTATCTAATTCAGGTTGATATCAACATTAAAGAAGGAACCCATACAACAGCAGATGAAAGTAAGTATTTCAAACTATCTCAATGGCTAAACAGGGTTTTACATCTGCTTCCACATTTGTATTAACGAAAGTGGGGCGACTGTAATGCACTGCCCTCTCAGCTAGTCTGGCCTGGATGTGAATCCTGACTTGAGCGAGAAAACCTTTTAGGGGGTTTCATGCCAGGTTATCACTGTGCTTAGTCATTTGGATGTGATGGAAATCGCAGGTCCAACCCTGTATACATTGTCATGTACATAACAGAACCCTTGTCTGGTGGAATTAGAAATGAAAATGATCATACTTTAGTCACAAAATGACCAAAGTATATATTGTGTTGATGAGATGTTAAACCCATTCCACTACTGCAAACAAGGATCTATTCAATGCTGCATAATTCAATGGATTTCTGTTACCCATAATCTTGACCAACACCGGGATCGAACTACAAACCTCCTGCTTAGTGAGCCAGTGCCTTACTCACTGAACCAATGAGACTCCTATAGGCATTCATATTTCCTTTATTGCTCAATATCCAGTTACCCCAAATCTCTGTAGAATAAAACTACTAGATTTCTTGATATCAGGATCAGTTTTATAAGCGAGACTTTAATACTAATTTTTAGTTAAAAAAGACTAATTTTAAAATTGTTTATTCTGATGTTCTTTTCATTTGTTTCAGTAAATAAACAGATTAACGATAAAGAAAGGATAGCTGCTGCTATGGAGAACCCTAATTTACGCGAGTTAGTGAAAGCTTGTACAAGCGATGTTGAGGATACATATTAAAATAAGAAACAGAAATGTGTAAATAATCCAGAAATAATTATTAACCGATTTTCACATGACAAATTAAATGGTTACCTGACATTTCTGAATATTAACAATTTCGTTACTGGTTACTATGGTTACCAGCTTCATGTGGCCATTTGTATTCTTGGTTATTCTAATAATAACCTGATACTGACAGGGCCCGATGTCATGACAATTTACTATTGATTGATATTGTCGCCAGCTTACAGTGCCTGTGCCTATTTTAATAATAATGCAGGACCAAAATAACTGGGGTTCTATGGAATGTTTAAGGTCCTATGCTTTTGATCAATATGATATGGTCACCAGCTTCCTGTTGCCATTTGTATTCTAGGCTATACTACTAATAGAGTGGAACCTGGTAACCCAGTACCACAGAAAGTTTAAGCAGTGTTTGAAGATCTACTGACAGAAGATCTACTGACAGGATCCCACGTAATGACAATTCAATATTTGTCTGTGTTGTCACCAGCTTACTGTGTTCATTCTATTCTAGGCTATTCTGAAATTATAATAGGGCCTAGAATAGGTAACCGGGTGGGTCCCATAGACAATTTATGATGTGTTTGGGGATGGGACCCATTTAATGAAAAGGTTATTTAAATTCCTGACCCCTATCATGATAATTTAAGTAATGATTCAGAATGAAAGTATTACAAGACTGGTTGTATATATGATCTCCGTAGACCATTGATTGTGTTATGGTTTATATGTAAATAAGGTTGGACTACATCTGGAACAACCCCATGTTTTCCAGCGAGAGTCCGGTCATAAATGGTTGATTTTGGGGACAAACGAACTCTCCACTAAAAGAGAAAAGGGCTGTCTTAATCTAGAAGATAAAATTATGAAACAAATATGTGACCAGCTCTGGCTAAAGGATCCTCATGGGTCGAATAATGAAAATTGAGTTATTGATATTAAGATTTTACATTTTATTCTGAAGGTTTGTTTTGAAAGTCTTGGATATGGTACTGCATATTAGTTGATTCATACGACTGATTAATTGCTATTTTTTTTTTACCTATTTATGATATTGAGCTTTTCGGACATGAACCTATAGACATTATCGTGAATTTGAGATTTCTGCGAAAATACATCACTTAAAAGTGATGTATTTTCACAGAAATCTCAAATTCACGATTTTCATCCCACAGGAGTTCTATACACTATACTGAAATACGATGCCGGGTTGCATGCAGATCCTTTATCCAGAGCTGGTCACCTATGTATTTTGATAAATGACCGCTGGGTGGCTCCTTTTTTCTTTTACAATGAATTCTTATTTGATAGAAATTGAATTTATTGTAAGTGTATTTTTTAAGAGTATTAAATTTTTTGTTAAATGTCTATGTTACAGTCAGTCAGTTGGGCTTAACGTTATTTATACTCCTGGACCCTATTAAATTGGCAGTCTCCTATTTCTTAGGAGACCATCAATAGAAAGTGGGATTAAGTACTTGCAAACCAAATACCAAAATGTGCAAGTTTCAAATTAAAATATTGAGCCATTCACATATATATGATGGTTAAATTTGCTTAATGTGGTTACATAACTCATTTAGAGATATATCATGTAAGATTTAGATAAAGAGCTGTCTGATCTTGCTATAATAGTTTTAAAAATGATAATGAAAAATGAATATGTTGAAATTTTCATTCATATTACTTTATTCTGAGTGGTGACAAGGAGTAGGGTCGCCTGTCCAACCTCGTGGGTTTTCTCCGGGTCCTCCGGTTTCCTCCCACTGCTAAAGACCCCTACGTGCAAGCGAATTGTTGAAATAAAATTAAACCATATGTTAGTCCCGAAATGACCTAGTTTGTGTCGAGTGGACGTTAAACCCCATTTCTCTCTCTCTCTCTCTCTCTCTCTCTCTTTATTCTGAGTGAAGTTATGAGTGTGTTAAGGTTTAACAAGATCTAGTGTAGGGTGTTCATTATATTTGAGACTAAGTACTGATTATCTATTATCGTTAAATTTTTAAATCTTGGATATTTTCCAATCCATTTAAATATTTGTTATCGGATGTTCTAGAGAATCGATTGTAGGCTTGTCATGTGAATAAATGTCTAAATAATAATTTATATAACATTTAAACCAAAATAAAGACCTGAAATATGCAGATTTAGCTCTTACCTAATGCATCTTTAAGGAATTTAATTGTTTAATTGTATGATAGTCTATACTTGTATGATTGTAAGGACTGATGATTTAATTGTATGATAGTCTATCTATACTTCTATAATTGTGGTGACTTATAAATGCTTTGCACCATAACTTAGCAATAGTGGGAAATTTGTGGACTTGTGGCCAATACCACATGGAAACTGAAAGTTTTATTTCTTTGGAAAAGTATGACATAGCTGCTGAGTGCTGATAGTTGTTCAGGATAAGGGTTTCTAACCGAACTGTCGATAGATGTTCAGGATAAGGGTTTCTAACTGAACAGTTGATGGGTGTTCAGGATAAGGGTTTCTAACTGAACTGATAGTTGTTCAGGATTCCAATGAGATCATGCACACTTATTGGTTCCTATAATACTTTTGTATTTGTTTAAGTTTACCTTTACTTACTATACTTGTGTTCAATTATTTTATATTTTGTAAAGAAAGGTTGTTTTTGTTTTTGTAATTTTACAGTTTGATTTAATTTGATGAACTGAAATGTCTCACAATATCTTAATACAGCATTTTGGTTCAAGTTTAAAGTGAAAACATAACTCAATCTCGATCCCAGAGTTATCTTTACCCTTCGTTCATCTCTGGTAAAACTTGCTGGTCATTAATCAGCGTGAATTCAGTTCCTTAGCTCCGCCCTCCGTGGCTACTGATTGGTAGGATTTGTTAGAATGAAATACTACCAATTTCAAAATGGTCTGCGAGAGAGAGAGAGAGAGAGAGAGAGAGAGAGAGAGAGAAATGGAGTTTAACGTCCACTCGACACAAACCAGGTCATTTCGGGACTAACACAATGTTCAATTTTATTTCAATAATTCGCTTGCGCGTAGGGGTCTTTAGCAGTGGGAGGAAACCGGAGGACCTGGAGAAAACCCACGAGGTTGGACAGGCGACCCTACACCTTGTCACGTACAACCGGGGATTCGAAAACCCCCCAGTTGACTCAATGACAGACTGTATGATACAGTGCAGCGCGCACGTGCTAACCATTCGGCCATCCACCCCCCCCCCCCCCCCAAAAAAAAATGGCCGGTGAGTTTTACCAGAGATAGACGAAGGGTAGAGTTATCTCTGTGATCGAGATTGAATATAACTGTCAAGGGTTTTTTTATGTACATGCTAATGCTAACTAAAACGTTTTGTATATAAGAGACAAATATTTACTGTGTAAAGTATTTTGATTAATTAATAAATAAAACAATGTGTTATTATTTATGTAATGATTTTCAATTGATTGGATGTCACCATTTGACTGTGTACTTTCGTTTTGTCGTTAGTTAAAATCATAGGACTATTTGATTTTGTAGAGGCGAAGAGTACGATGCCCTATGTTATACCTATGTTACCTATTAAATTTCAGCAATGTAAAAGGTGAACTGAGATTGTAGATCAATCAAAAATGTTGTGTATATACGATGATAAATGTATGTTGATTATTTAAGAAATAAATAAAAGAATCTGTTAAAAAGCCTGAGTTATTGTGTGATGATTTCACTTGATGGTGTAACCGTTTACTAAGTTTTATTAGTTATAAACATGCGAATATTTCCCCCAGTAATATGGTCGGCATATGTAGGCTAATATACAGTAGTGTATTCAATGCTAGACTTTACCGCGCTCAGTAAACAGAAAAATGGGAAAAAAAATAGTAAATACGGCACCGAAACATTCGTAATGATATTAATAAGGAGTTGGGTTGTTGAAACGCTTTCTAGCAAAGTTTTCCATAAAGACACTGAAGGGAAATTCAAGCAACATGATAAACCAATTGTCAGCTGTTATAAAATAGGTTCAATAAGGAAACCAAGAGCCAGATGGATACGTAAAGCATGCGTTTTCAAACATGTCCCATTTGTTGGGAAGAGGGATATTCATACCCAGTGAAGCCGCGACTCAGGATTTCAGAATTCAACGGTGCTACATGGTAGTTACCAGTCTTTGAGCAGTGGCTTTTGCTATTTTAGTATTAAAACTAATCCAATTGTCAGCTGTTATTAACTCGATTCCACAGGCATTTGGTCCGGAACAGTAGAAATATCCTTTCATGAAAACAGTCAACCATATAAATGGGTGGCCACCCCCTCCCCATCCTCATTTGCATTAGCCCCACTGGAACATAAAAGTAGTATGTTAATCCCAGTTCTTTTCATTTCCGGGATTGTCTGAAATATTGGCAATTCTGATCACTTACTTCATAAATAAAGGAACTGGGGTTTAACCGAAATTATGCCGTTTGTTGGGGGGGGGGGGTACTTTTTTTGTAACAGAGGGCCACCTCACGGCCTACTCTTATTTCGAATTCCAACTGCTATTCGTGTACAGACCCTCGTTTTTTTTGTAGCATCCGCCCGACTAGACACACCCTGTCTGTATATTTGAGTTCTTTTATGTTATTTAAAATATTTACATTACATATAGGCTTCTTTAATTGGTTGAACTAAGAAGGAAATTGTATTTCAAAGGAATTTCGAGATTTATCTAAAATAACACAAAGTAACATAAAGTCCAATTTACATCATATCTTGAAAAAGAAAATGTATTTCACCATTTCAATTAGTTTTTAGCTTCAAGATCTCATTAACTCTTTTTTTTAAAAAGACAAATTCATATTACACGGATTTTTTAGACTGAACTAATATTTTTTTAAAATTTAACACGCGTATTTACTCCATGAAAGAATTTAGTTGACTAAATAGCAATTAATTTACAAGTTTTCAATAAGTGCTTGCCACCGCGAAGACCAGAAATAACCACTATCTTTTAATTTAAAATATTTAGATTTATAATTCTGAAATAAAAATAATATTTCTTTTTAATAAAACACGTTTATTAAATTGCCAAACTGATGAAATGGTTTATTGAAGGGATATGATCGAGTTTAAACAAATACTACATCTTTAAAGGTTATTTTGAATTGATTTGTCACAAGATAACTCAAGGAATCCCATGTAAGCACAGATAATAACAAGTCAAACATGCGTATGTGAAAATCTTTTAATATTTTAACATATGCATGCTTTACTGCGTAAACATGAAATCATTTGAAATGGTTTCGGATCACCGCTCATTCGTGACAAGGAGTAGGGTCGTCACTCCAACCTCGTGGGTTTCTACGGGTCCTTCGGTTTACTACCACTGCTAAAGACTCCTACGCGCAAGCGCATTATTGAAATTAAATTGAACCATATTATGTTAGTCCCGAAATGACCTAGTTTGTGTCGAGGGGACGTTAAACCCGATTTCTGCCCCCCTCCCTCTCTCTCTCTCTCGCTCCCTTGCTATGGGGCAAATTCCCATTGACAAGGCAATTTTTTACGTGCACGGCAACAAGTAGGCTACAACGATGAACGTCGGTTATCCGTTCCCACCCCCTTACGACTAGATTCTGTGCTTTCCTACCCAATCCTGCACATTACTGACAAAGGACAGACTGGACAATCCTGACGAACTTTCTAGGACAACACCGGGATCAAATCCAGGACCTCTTGATTGGTGGGCCATACATACATGTAGGTCAGTCACACTCGGCAAACCTCAGCAGAAATTCCAGTACCCTACATCTAGCCTCGGCTATTTTTCTTTCAAATATATCCGATTTTCTTTAAACAAGGACAACTTTGCAATGAAAATTCTACCCATTCTTCGAACGACACAATTATGAGAACTTCTTTCTAAAAGCGGCAAGTTTTCCTAATAAGTAAACCGGTAGCCGCATCGCAATTGTATAGGTGTAGGTACATATGACGTACCGGCATACAGCCGAGGTTAGATGCAGAGTATCGGAATCTGTGAGGTTTGACGAGTGAGCTCAGTCAATATGGCCCCAGGAATCTGATGTAAAAATAGATCATAAATATGTGAAATTGGAATCCAATTTACTCCACTTCCACACTCCCACCCCTCACTGAATGCAAGACACAAACAGAAAACGTGAAAGTCTTAGCCTTATTACGAGAGAGTAACTGAAAAGCACAACTGTAAATTATTTTCACTTTCGAGAATATTTGGCTAATTTTAATAGTTTTCTGTGAATGTTTTTGCGTCAAGCTTACAATATAATATTACCGTTTGCAGAAAATCTGGTCTTATATATACGTCTTACGTTACATTATATATTGGAAATGAAATGATATGAAATGGGGTTTAACGTCCGTCCTACTGTTCTGCTCCGACTGAGCATACAACATACAGTGTGCTATAAGGGGAATTTTGCGCGGACAGCGGCGCTACGGCTACTCTTATATCGAATTCCAACTGCCACGGGATCTATTGCGTGCACGCCAATGTGTACACGGGAACTTAGTTTTTCATTCTGTCCGAACGACTAAACGTTGTCTCCAGCCAGATCCTCTATCCTGCACCATTGACAAGGGGGAACCACGCCGAAAAATAAAACTGACGAACTTTCGACATAATTGGATTTACCAAGTAGCTCTGGTTTCTGCCGAATCTAAATACAAACTTTAACTCTATTTAGTTTAGGTTAAAGGAGCTAAATCGCTAATATTTTGGACCTAGAAATTGGCACAAATGGGTCGCAACACATATAATAATGTAATATGAATTTATAAACTGTTTTACATTCAATCGTGTTCGTTTTACTGTGAATTGTCTTCAGTTATGTTCGGCGAAATACGCCAGAAGTCTCAACCGCAAGTCAGTTTCTAGCGTCTGGTTATTCCAATCAACACCGATATTATTTATTGCGCATGCTCTCCAAATAAGAACATGATATCACCGTTTGACATGACTTGTGGAATATGTCTAGCCTCATTCTTTGAGCACCTTGTTACAAATGGCGCTGAAACGCATTACGGTACACGATTCGTGTACCAATAGTAAAATGTTTATTTGGTCTTAAATATTGGATATCAGAAGCCCATCTTTTCCAGTTAAGATCACAACACCAATGCTGATTTAAATTGCAAAAAAATTCGTGTTTTCAATGTCGAAGATTTTGGATGATATTGAGTTGCGGACTTAGCTACTTTAAGAACGTTAACTGTGCACACGGCAATTCAAGCTCATCTGCAGTCTGATTAAAACACAGATCCTATTTCGTTTCGTTTTTTATAGTTCAAACTTTCGTTTTACTTGTCTTTACTACACTAGGATCTGGAAAGGTTATTATATAACCCGCATTCTAGATGATGCGAGGGATTAGCCAATGAAACATCAACGCTGATTGGCTAATCGAATGTCTGACGTCATAGAGTGAAAAGCCGCTCGTATGACCTCTGACGCGACCTTCCACTACAACCGGTCATATTTCCATGTAGTAGAGGTCATCGAAAGTATAAAAAAACGAAACGAAATATATATTTGTATAGACTGGATCATCAGTGAACGTAGGTAGGATTTCAACCAGGAGAGGTGATATTTTATTGAATTACTCAACCTGACGTGCGGAGTTTATTGAATTTAAAATAATGTTAGTTTGATTAATCAAGTCAGTTAGTTATTGGGTGTGGTCGTAGAGAAGGAGGTATACAATACCCTCGGCTTTCTCCTCCGCGCAACCATCTCCTGAACATCATGGACGGTACGTGAATACCAGTATAAAATGAAATGAAATGAGGTTTAACGTCCTATTGTTCTGCCCCGACTGGTCTAAAGAAGACGGGGAATACAAGTTCAGAATGGTACGAAAAAAAAATCATCCTCTGCCACTCCCCTTCTTCCAATTAAAAGAGCGCCCCCCCCCCCCAAAAAAAAAAAATAAAAATAAAAAAAATACGGAACTAACACATTTTATAATCGTTAGTCCATATGCTGAATTTTATCTATAAAATTCAAATATAATTTTAATCAGAAGTGGTAACAATAGTAAGCACGTCACCATCGCACTTCGGCTAAACGGGGCGATTCTGATTAGATTCATCAGTCGAATGGTTTAAATACAAAAGGCCACCAACAGAGTCATCCGTCCAGTTGTTTAAAGACAAAAGGCCACCAACAGAGTCATCCATCCAGTGGTTTAATTTGAAAAGGCAACCAACAGAGACATCCGTCCAGTGGTTTAAATTGAAAGGGTCAGCAACAGAGTCGCCCGCCCATTGGTTTAAATTGAAAAGGTCAACCACAGAGTCGCCCGTCCAGTGGTTTAATTCGAAAAGGCCACCAACAGAGTTATCCGTCCAGGTGGATCTCGTTTTATGTCGTTTCATCTGAAAAAGAATCCACACTTTCATAACCATTGGGAAGAAGGGACAGGGATGAAATATCTCAACAAAGGGATATTCTAGCTGAGAATCTAGTCCCCAAACTGCTCGACTACCGCCGCTCCTCTTTTGTTGATATGATTTTCTTGTGTTAAGACAATCCTTCTTAGATCAAAGGACATCTTTCATCTTACTGTGACAGATTAACACTTGAATACCCAGACTAAATGTAACACGAGCTCGTTGATTAAACATGCTTGGTGATGGGTGGCGCGTTGTCTGCACCATTTGGATTACAACTGCAGTTTAGCCGGATCTATATTATCTCTTGCTGAACGGTGTAAGGGAGGGATATTCAAATGGAATCCGTCCGCCCTTCTGTCAGACCAACCTTCTACCTTAGTTTTGTTTCCGGGGACTATCTCAAAGATATTTAACGTCCTCTTCTTTCTGCATCAACCGGGATAAGGAATGCGGGCATACGCGATGCAGTATGCTATGAGGATAATTCTGCCCGGATGGCGGCGCTACGGCCTACTCTTATTTCCAAGTCAGTCCAATTGTCAATGGTTCTTTATTAAGAGAACGCCAACCTGCACACGGGACTCGATGTTTCGTCCCCGTCCTGCACTACTGAAAGGGGAAACAACTATCACCGGAGAATACCGACAAACATTCTCGGCCATCATCAGGAGCTAATCCAGACCCTTAACAGAAGCAAGCCACGCGACCATCGTTAAAATAGGAGCGATGCGTGTATACACCCCTTAGTCTTTCTACATTCAGACTTGGTTGATTTCATTCCAATATGTTATAAAACTAATTTACCCAATTCCCACAATAAATTCAAGTCTGGAGATTATATTTTGACATAATTTGACAATTAATATCCTAGAAAAGCCTACACAGATGTTGTGTTGTGTTTCAAATTATAGTTTTAACAACAGCTGTTGACGGAGGTTTAACGTAACATCGTATAAATATTGATGGAGTTTAACATATAAGCTTTTAGTTTAAAACAAGGAAGGGGGGAATGGGGTTTAACGCCCAGTGCAGCTAGTATTTTGGTTATGTTCTAAAACGAACGTGAAAGGAATTGGGTTTGACGTCCAGTCTAGATAGTATTTTGAGTATGTTTTAAATCGAACATGAAAGGAATGGGGTTTAACGTCCAATCCAGTATTTTGGTTATGTTTTAAAACGAACATGAAAGGAACTGAGTTGACGTCTAGTCTTGTTAGTATTTTGGCAATGTTTAGCTTTTATTTTAAAACGAAGATGGGAGGAATGGAGTTTAACGTCCAGTACAGCTAGTATTTTGGTAATTTTTTTAATCGAACATGAAAGGAACTGGGTTGACGTCTAGTTCAGTTAGTATTTTGGCTATGTTTAGCTTTTATTTTAAACCGAACATAAATGGAATTGGGGTTGACGTCCAGTCCAGATGGTATTTTGTTTATGTTGAAATCAAGAAAGGCTTGTTGGACTGCATGTTTCTGAAGTAACGATCGCGAGTTTTACAACATCTAGTACGGAGTTAAAGCAAGATCAAGCCTTCTATTGACGATACTCGAAATGAGGCTTAACGCCTTGTCCAGATAATATTTCGCTTTTCTCCAGTAGTGGGGGTTGAGGTCTAGTCCAGATGGTATTCTGGTTATGTTGAAATTAAGAAAGGCTTGATAGTATGTTCCTGGTGGCAACGACCGCGAGTTTTATTACATCTGAACAAACTGATTAAAATACAGATCTATATTTCGTTTCTTTTTTTATACTTTCGATAGCCTCTACTACAGGAAGATCTGACCGGTTGTAGTGGAAGGGCGTGTTAGAGGTCATACGAGCGGCTTTTGACCCTATTATGTCAGACATTTGATTAATCAATCAGCGTTGATGTCTCTAGTGAGTTACCTACAGTTCCATGCACCTCACGCCAAAACCCACCGTAACAGACCATTTTATTGGCTATTCCCTCACATCATCCAGGGTTATAATATAACAAGTCTTCCATAGATCCTAGTGTAGTAAAGACAAGTAAAACGAAATTTTGAACTATCAACAACGAAACGAAATAGGATCTGTGTTTTAATCAGATTGGTATTGGAGATGCTTGTTGGAATGGGGCTTAACGTCTTGTCCAGATAGTATTTCAAATTTCTCGAAATTAAGACAGGCTGCTTTTATTTTAAAACTTTATTTTACAGGAATATCCACCATTATAATAATAACGCGTGGACTATAAATAGCTTATTAGATTTGCGAGGAATGTTTGTGGTCAATTGTTATATCTCTAAGTTCAACATCTCGTCAGTTTGTAGGGTGGAGAACGATAACTATACGAGATTAAAGCTGTCTTTACGCCATATTGACAATTGACGTCTGCCGGTGTTCTTAATCAGAGCAGACGACGCTATTTCAATTTCCGACGCAGATCCAAAGGGCTGGGGGAGGAGGGGGTCCAGGGTGTCCCTCCTCTACTGCTCAGACTTAGTTTCGGCGGTCCGGGGTCCGAAACCGTTGGTTAAATTGTCATTACAGCACTTCAATATGGAGATTTGAAATTATTGCAACTGTAACAACGCCCCACCCCCCCTTCCTGCTGAAAATCCTGTATCCTCCCCTGAAATTTGGAAATTATTAGGAAAGGCTACATTGACAATTGACGTCTCCCGGTAATCTTAATCAGAGTAGATGACACATTATTTCAATTTGTGAATAACAGGGAAAGAGAAATAAAGTTTGCTTTCCGCCATATTGAAAATTGACGTCTGCTGGTATCCTTAATCAGAGCAGACGACACTATTTGTGAAAGATGCGGAAAGTGAAAAAAAATATGTTTGTTTGATATTTGGCCCACGTAGCAACATGTTTGTTTATTTTTTCTTTAAATATAGAACGCATTCGTGTCATCGTTGAATTTGGGTTCGTTGCCTAGACTACTTGTGCTAATATTGGACTTGAATTAAATAGAACTTGCTGACACACGCAGCATCGATGTGCATTATTCGACATCTCGAGATCACACATCAAGCGCTGTAAGCACGTCTCAGAAAATTTTCTGTTGTCGGTCTAATTCTAGAGATCAAATGGTCTGTCATCTGTTGGAGTCCAGACGAGTTGTACAATGGGCGACAAAGAGCGACAAATTCAAATGCTAAGGCTATCTTATATTCTTTTCATTTAGATCCATGATCCATAGACACATTGCCTACAGTGCATTTACCTTAAACATTAGCTATAGGGCATTTATCGTCAACATTAGCTATAGAGTATTTACCTTCAACATTAGCCATACGACATTTTACTTCAAAATTAGCTATAGGGCATTTACCGTCAACATTAGCTATAGAGTTATTACCCCCAACATTAGCTATAGGGCATTTAACTTCAACATTAGCTATAGGGTATTTACCGTCAACATTAGTTAAAGGGGATTTACCTACAACATTGCCTACAGTGCATTTACCTTCAACATTAGCTATAGGGCATTTACCGTCAACATTAGCTATAGAGTATTTACCTTCAACATTAGCTATAGGGCATTTAACTTCAACATTGCTTACAGTGCATTTACCTTCAACGTGGGATAGCCTCTTTAATCTTAATAAGTGATTTACCTGTCCCTTTAAACATAGCTATAGAGCGATTTACCTATTTTATGTGCCTGTCCCTTTATTTCTGGCTATAGCGATATTTACATATGATATATGAGTGTCTCTTTAATCCTAGCTAGAGAGGGATTTACCTTTATGAGAATTATCCCTTTAACCTTAGCGATAGAGCGATTATATATACGCCCCTTTAATACAAGCCACGGGGAGATTATAGACACGTCCCTTTAATACAAGCCACGAGAAGATTATAGACTCGTCCCTTTAATTTAAGCCACAGGGACATTATAGACCCGCCCCTTTTAATCTAAGCCACGGGGACATCATTGACCTTCCCCTTTAATCTAACCCATGGGGAGATTATATACGTCTCTTTAATCTAAGCCACAGGGAGATTAAAGATACGTCCCTCAAATTTAACCATAGGGAGTTTATGGACAAGTCCCTTTAATCTAAGCCACGTTACCACAGAGTCTCTGTGACGTTACAAGGACAAAGGGGGCGTGGTGACCCATGATTTTGCATGAGGAACAAGATCCCGTCAGGGCCCCCAAAAAACAATAATTTATGTGTGTGCGGGGAAGATTATAGACACGTCTATTTAATCTAAGCCACAGGATAGTCAAGTCCCTTTAATCTAAGCCGCAACATAGCGAAGTCCCTTTAATCTAAGCCACGGGATAACCCCTTTAATCTAAGTCAAAACATAGCGAAGTCCCTTTAACCCAAGCCACGGGATAATCAAGTAGTACCTTTAATCTAAGCCATAGGGAGATTTACCTATATCCCTTATCTACTCTTAAAGCTGTTTTCATTCTCCAATAACCAGCGAGATTTTTTTTACCGCTAGACCATTAACCGTGATAGTGTTTGAACCGGTCGTTAGTTACTCAATAAGTTTAACCGGTTTAGTTGGCTTGAGAATGTGAGAACGTGCACGGCGACCCCGTGACATAAAGAACCCGTGGGATAACGCGAGGATTAATTCTTTACCCGTATTATTTATGAATGGATACAGAGGAACAATGTTATATATCTATATACTCATCTAGGTTCTATAGTATACCACTCAATATACTGCTTCGCTCTTGTCATTCACTGTATTCAATTTTCTTCCATCTTTTTTTTCCGTGTGAAATTGTGAACATTTGTATTATGTAATTACTTTCGACAGTCATGGCTGGAAAACATATCAAAGTGTAGACAGAGTTTCTGTGTTTAAGACATCAGTGGATTGGGTGTTTCTATATAAAGTTTTGTGAATAAGATATAGACGTATTGGAGTACACACACGAGAGTAGATAAACTATTCGCGACCCCCTTGTGAATTATACAAGGAGTCTTGGTCGAGGTTGGGTTTTTTTTTCGAACTAAACGTATATGTACCAGGTGTTTGGCGCAAACTGAATGGAGCAGACCGAATACTTTAATTAAGCACTAAGTGAGATTCGAACCGGATTACCTTACGGTTGTTTTGGATTCTGTTTTTTTTAGATATTAAACTATTTTTGTTAGTTTTAGAGTTGCTGTGAAAGGTTTATTCATTTATTTATATGATTGAAAAAGCGGATACGACAGCGTGCAGTCTATATCTACGCTAGCTTTATGGAACTTAATCCCAATGACATGCCTCTCATTCTTACTGACATAATAAGAGGACAACGCTGGTGGATTAAATCACTTTTCTTATAGATTGTAAATTAAACATTTGGATTACTTTTTAAGCCATTGACAGTCATTTTCATTCTATTTAAAGGGATTCTTCGTATCTTGGATTCTGTTTTAAAGGATTCTTTGTATCTTGGATAAAGGATTCTTTGTAATTTGGATTGGATAAAAGGGATTCTTTGTAATTTGGATTGGATAAAAGGGTTTCGTTGTACAAACTGGATTGTGATTTAAAGAATTCTTTGCACTCTGGACTACGTTTTAAGGGATTCTCTGTACCCTGGATTGTGTTAAAAGGGATACTCCGTGTTTTAAGGGATTCTCTGTACCCTGGATTGAGTTTTAAAGGGATAAGTTGTGTTTTAAGGGATATTCTGTACCCTGGATTGAGTTTTAAAGGGATTCGTTGTAACGTAGATAACATATTGACGGATTCATTCTTTTATTTTTGAATATGAGAATTTGAATTAGCATCTAAATGAGATATTTTCTGATCGATTATTGTGTTTTAAATATGGAGTAGTCGGTAGCGTGGATCGATTCTGTTTTTATTCAAATGGATATTTTATAATCTATGGAATATTGAGATAAGTGTTGGATTATTGGATTATTGGATTAATTGATCTTCAGTTCAAGGATTTACCGGATTAACCATGGGGTAAGTGTTTTTTTTTAAATAGAACATAAGCTCACGAAACTATTTTTACTATAGTATCTATATGGCATAGAGATATAGGCCTAGGCGACAAGGGTGAGCGAAGCATGGGTGTCCGAATTGCCATATCTTTACCCGAGTATCACAATTATACCAAAACGTTACTTTCGCACCCTTTTCGAAAGATATGAATATTGATAATATTAATGTTGGACAACACCGGGATCGAACCTGGACCATCTGGTTAGTCAACCAACACCATACTCCCCGAACCAGAACTATAATAGATCACCCCTGATCAAAATCCAGCTAATCGAATACAGATATCGGATTCCGGACATGGTTTATTTATATTACATAGTAAAATGTCAAGGCCGGTAACAGCACAGAATAACCGCACCACCAAACACAGACAGAACAAACCAAAGGACAATCTGATACATGATTCCAGAGACGATCGAGAAAGTGAAGTCCAAATATTAAGGCCACCTGCAGATTTCGTCAAGGTCACGAGATGTAAACAGGGTTGAGGCACGTGATTGTTGCCGAGGATTGTGTGTTAGGTAAGGGTAAGGGCTAGGTCTATGGTAGGGTTAGGGATAGGGTTAGCGCTAGCCCTGTTTACTTTGAAGAAATCTGCAGGTGGCCTTGATAATTAGTTCTAACCATATGAACTTATATTTTGGCGAAAATTTACTTAGATCATTATGATACTTACATTGTAATGGAAACAGCAAGGTAGTGTTACCATTTCTAGGGTATAATACAATACACCCAAATGTTTGTCGTTTTAACTTTTTAAAAGGTAATTTAAAAAAATGAAAATATGTGGAAGGTCAAGTTTATCAAGTGAATTCGGAATGCCAAAAGAAACATTTGGTTAAATTCGATTCCTAGCATTTGTTAAGACTATGTGTATTATAGCTAACCTTATGGGTGTATTTATGCTAGTGTTGTGGAATAAAATGAAATGAAATGGGGTTTAACGTCCTTCTTCACCGACTGGGGTAATCAAGACTAGACATACGCAATGCATTGTGCTGTATTGTGAATTTTGTCCGGACAGCGGCGTTTCTGCCTGCTCTTCTTCGAATTTCAACTATCATTGGTTCTTTTACATGTTGGGTGGGGGTGGGGGTTGTCTCTTAAGGTCTCTGATTGAGTCAACTGGCGTTGTATCATAAGGTCTGTGATTGAGTCAACTGGCGTGGTTTTGATTCCCCGGCTGTACTCAACAAGAAGTAGGGTCGCTTGTCCAACCTCGTGGGTTTTCTCCGGGTCGTCCGATTTCCTCCCTTGCACGTAAAAGATCCATTGGCAGTTGGAATTCGATATAAGAGTAGGCGATAGTGCCGCTGCCCGGGCAAAATTTCCCTCATAGCACACTGTATGGCGTATGCCCGTCTTCATTAGCCCAGCATAGGAGCAGAAAAATAGGACGTTAAACCCCATTTCATTTCATTTCCGATTTCCTCCCACTGCGCGCAAGCGAATTATTGAAATAAAATTGATTGTGTCGAGTGGTCGTTAAACCCCACTCCCCCCCCCCCCCCACTGTTCTGCTCCGACTGGGTTAATACAGTGTGCTATGCGGGAAATTTTACTCCAGCGGCGCTATGACCTACTCTTATATTGCATTCTAGCTCCCAAGTGATCTTGAACGTGCACGCTAACGTGTACACGGGACCTCGGGTTTTCATGCCATCCGAACGACTATACGTTGTTTCTTGCCAGGCCCTCGGTCCTACACCACTGACAAGGAGGAACCACGCCAAAACACAGCGAGCCAAATTCCTACCATCTGAGCCACCGTGGCTTCCCTACGGAAAAAAACATTGACGGAACTTGCAGTTCGATGAATAGTAGCAAGAAACACCGTCCGCTGCATGGTGTATGCCCGCCTTGATTATCCCGGTAGGTGCAGAATAGGGAGGACATACATTTCATCATACTTCAATATGTTCATTATTTAACTGTTGGCGCCGCGGTTTGAAAAAAGTATGTCAACTGAATGCAATCCAAATGTTTGTTTTATTTACATTTAGCCAGTATTTATTGACAGGTATAACAAGGTGTTTATATAGGTAATATCCTAATATACGTATAATGAATAGAACCTCTCACTCAACCATCCATTAAAGTCTTGCTATTGTTATTGTATATAAATACCCCATCTTACTAACTTAAAGGGCAACTACAATCGTTTTCAGTGTTTTAAAATGTCTTATAAGTGGTAATGAATGTCCCGAGCTGATTCTAAACAAGAGGATTGGAAGCAGTTTGGGGGGATTTGTGGGAGGGGTGAGGTAGCTTGTCAGAAAAGGCTTGACTTGAATAGGGGTAGTGGCAATCGACAAGAGTGGATCATTCTTGGGAGTTCCGCAATTTTTTGACATTTTGTAGTGTATATTATATTGTTGCACTACAATAGATAGAGACATAAAACTACGACGGCGAACGTTCTCCTTTTAAAAGGGTGGATTATCACGACTTATATTTTAAAACGTTACATATTTGACAGAAAGATGACCTTTCATTCAATCTGTTCCCACTAAAACTCATAATAACAAAATGCAACGAACTCAACGACGTGTAAAATTGTGGTATGCTATTGAAGAGCCAACAAAAGATTTTTATTTTAAAATATTTTCAAGTATCAAGTGAGTGTGAAGTTTTGATTAAATGTTTGTAAACTTATAAGATATGCTGTCAGTGAATCTATATAGCTAGTTATGCAAATTTTAAAGAGAACTATTAACAAGTACTCGATTATCAATCCGGAACCCTTGAATTGACGGAGTGACAATTTTCAAACCCGGAACGTTCAGTCTCGTTCAGATGGGCGCAACTTTGTCGTCCGGGTCGCTATGCAAATTTTAAAGAGAACTATTAGCAAGTACTCGATTATCAACCCAGAACCCTTCTAATTGACGGAGTGACAATTCAAACCCAGTACGTTCAGTCTTGAGCATAAAGCTCGACAACCTGATTGACGAAAGATGGGCACAACTTTGTCATCTGGGTCACTATGAATGTTATTACATTTCTTTTTTCTCTATTTTCGTAAGGCGTGGGGGGGGGGGCGAACGAATGGTTTGAATCATATGGTCTGCCATTGAGTCGAGTGGCGTGGTTTTGATTCCCTGCGTGTACGCGACTAGGCGTAGGATTGCCTGGCCAACCTCATAATGTATCTCCGGGTACCTCCTGTTTCCTCCTACTACTAAAGACCCCTACGCGAATTGGTAAAACATAAGTTAAGAAATCTCTCTCTCTCTCTCTCTCTCTCCTTGGGCAATTGGAGTCATGTGACTCTGTTAAAAATCATGATAGATAATTGAAATCTGATAGGCTTCTTCGTCTACCGTGTGTTTACTTTGCACATACAATTCAAAAGGATAGGCTGATCGATTATAATCTTTGGACAAGCCATCAGTGTAGTTGACAATTAATATGCTTTTTCATCTTGGTAGTGTAAACAATGTCATTGTAATAAGCAGGGTACACTGTAAAAAATATCCATTTTTTATGTGGCCGAATTCCGTAATTTAACACTTTTTTTCTGTTAATCGATGGATTTTTTGGCGAAATTGTGTTAATAGTGTGAATTATTTCTTCAAATTACGTGTTTTATGTATTTCTGTGGAATATTCAGTATTAAACAGGAAATTTCCGTGAAATTTAGGGATAAAATGTTTTATTCCCTTCTATAATGGACTTAATTCTGTTATTTTACGGAATAAACGGTAGAATGACAAGGAAGTTCCTTGAAATTTAGGGATAAAATGTTTTATTCCGTTCTTTAATGGACTTAAGTCTGTTATTTTACGGGATAAACGGTGCAACGATAAGTAATCGTATACATATATAATCATTCCTAATAATCATCTTGTTATAGTGTTATTGGTATATTAATTGTCATGTATATCTAGTTTCCATTATTTATAAGATCTATAAAGTGTATTGTTATTCATCATACGGAAATCAGATTGTAAGTATTTTCAGAAATATATAAAAATATGTTTTAATGCTGCGTGCGTTAAGTTTATAATATCTGGTGATCAAGCATGCTTAGATCCGGATAGTACAACCCGTTGGCCAGTGTAAGTCGGTTTGTCTCTATGGCAGAGTCGAAATACCTGCGAATTGATGATACCGCAAACTTGCATCTGAAAGCCTCCAACCACTGACGAGTAGCGGTTTGTGATACCTTGCTCTCGATTCTTATAATTGCAAAAAGAGGTTACGTTTAAAGATTATCTGCGGTATCACTTCGGTGGAAGCGGACGTTAAATAAAGCTATTTCACGCACGCGTCTAAAGTCAATGGTTAATTAAATGAAATTTTTATCACCTTCATCGTCAGGAAACAAAATTTATTGGGATTTTTTTTTCTGTATTTGAAAATGGAATTTATGTTAATTGAGGGAATTTCTGTAAATTACAGGAAAACCAAATACGGATAAAATTTTCCTGGTAATTTTTGTTTCCGGAACTTTTTACGTTTTTTCACGGAAATTTTTGTTACAGTGTATACCTGACAATCTTATATGATTTGATTTTAGGTCATTCTCACCCAGCTCAAAACTTAAATAATCATGTTAGCGTGACTAAGGTGTTAATTGGAATTTCTAAAGAAGGATTAGCTGTAGTCTGTTTCACATTGGGCACTGTTTATTTCATTAGGTTAAACCTAATAGTAAAACAAAATCACTTGATAATGTTTTATTCAACATTTATTATAGTAAAACATGTTAATTTCAACACTTTTAATGTAAATGGAAAAACTTAATATAAAAAATAAATAACTAAATAGCACTATGAAATGAGCATCAACATTAAAAATATATATTTCATATGGGCAAGTAAACATTTCATACTTTTTACTCTAAATGGACAAGATGAGATACCGCATCTACATAAAGCATGATGTCTCTTTGACCATTTCGGAACTGATCTTTCAATGCTTGAAGTCCCTCTTCTAGTTCACGGTAGGCTTTCTTC